TCCGCCCCTTCATCCTGGTTGGGTGGTCCATAACAGACTCCCAGCAGGATATCTGCCTCGTTGGCCTTCGCCCTCATCCTTATCCATAAACACTCAATAAGATCAAATAAGATCAAATAAAGCTGGTTTCTTATCTTAAGATTTTAAATAATGGCTTCTGTCTTAAATTATAGGAAACAGAGGTCTTGCTTTTAATTGCTGGCAGCCTCACTCTGAAAAGATACAGTTCCTGACAGGAATCTACCAACGGCTCAGTCTGGGTTTGATTCAAGTATCATGTTATGTATATAATAAAACATAGAGTATGTTGAACTACTCTAAGGCACCTTTCCAAGTCACGGTGGCGACTGTCTTGGCCAGGTTATACACATTACTCCTTTTTAGTATCAGCAGGGCTCCCATCCTTTCCTATTACTCTTTGGCCATCCTTTCTTGTCTTAAGCAATCACATTGGCCCATCTTAATACTTTCTGTTGCTCTTCTCTCTGATCACGTTTCCCCAAAGCTTTTACTGTTCGTTCTTTCTCCCAAAGCAGACTGCAGAAATAGCACGCTTACATCCATTTCTTCCCTGTTATCCAATAATTTTATGAGCCTTTCCATTGCAGTGGTCATATTTTGTGCTGCGGAAGTGTGGCTGGAGTATCGCAGCAGCTTTGTTTGTATATTCTGTCTGACAGGGTGGTGCCCTGGAGTGACATTGATGCTGCCTATCTCCAAGTCTTTGGTACCAGAGTCTTGCTTAAAACTTTGTTAAAAAATGTTTTGAAAAATGTATCACATACATAGCAATTCTTTATGTCTATATTTAACAAGAAGAAAAAAATGGCCAAGGCTCTGCTGTCCAGCCTTGATAATATGCAAGACAGTAAAATAAATTTGGAAAAAAAAAAAAAGACCTAGACATGGGAAATAATGCAATTCAAGTTGAATTGTAGTACTTTACCAAAGGGAAAACTGAGACAGATATCAAAATAAATATCAAACAGTTCTATTGATTTTCTAGACACAAGATTTAAAGGGAAAGAAATAGGGCTATAGGAAAGTTGTTAGTGAAAATTCTGTTCAGCCTTGGGGGAGATATTATTTACATTGATTACCTTGTCACAAAAAGTAGTCTGGAGGAATTTACTGAAGATATAAAGTAGGGAGGCCCTATAAAACAGAATGTGGTTAGTATTTCCTAGAGGTAGAATCCTCTAGGTAGAATCCTCCAGGTAGAACTGGAGGATTTTACTGTAGTAAAAAAAAAAGGGTGAAGTATCTGAATAGGACAGAAGGTCAATTACACAGGAACTAATAAAAGTTTCTGTTACAAGAAAGAATTTTCTATAAGAAAATTCTTCTTATAGAAATAGCAGAAGAAGAGAAAATCTGGATAAACTTCCTAAGAAAATAAGAATAGCTATGGCAGGCCAGACCAAAGGTCTGCCTAGCCCACTATCCCCTCACTGACAGTGACAATAAACACCTGTCGTGGTTTAACCTCAGCCTGCAACCGAGCACCATACGCTTGCTCACTCTCCCCCCCTGGTGGGATGGAGGAGAGAATCGGAAGAGTAAAAGAGAAAACTCGTGGGTTGAGATAAAAACAGTTTAATAATTGAAGTAAAATAAAATAACAATAATGATATTAATATACAAAACAACTGATGCACAATGCAATTGCTCACCACCCGCCGACCGATGCCCAGCCAGTTCCCGAGCAGTTTTTTTGAGCAGCCGCCAATGGCCCCCCCCCCGGCCAACCCCCCCCAGTTTATATACTGAGCATGACGTCACATGGTACGGCATATCCCTGTGGCCAGTTTGGGTCAGCTGTCCTGGCTGTGCCCCCTCCCAGCTCCTTGTGCACCTCCAGCCCTCTCAGTCGGTAGAGCATGGGAAGCTGAAAAGTCCTTGACTGGTGTGAGCACTACCTAGCAACAACTAAACCATCGGTGCGTTATCAACATTGTTCTCATCCTAAATCCAAACCACAGCACTGTACCAGCTACTAGGAAGGAAATTAACTCTATCCCAGCTGAAACCAGGACACCACCTATGGCAGACTATAGGAATGGGGCAATCATGCAGCAATACTTGCCCTAGGTACCTGTGTTAGTTGAAATATCTGTTCTGCAGGTAACAAAGCATTAACTTCTCTGAATTTGACACTACTAAAACCTCATGTTGTACTGGAATCCACTGTATGGTTGATATGAGCCATGTTTGAGAAAGATTAGTTGAATATAGAAAAAGGGTGGGGGAAAGCTATCACATAGAGACTAAAACTATCACACAGAGACTAAAAAGTGTATTTTCTATATCCT